ATCTGGGGAAGGTAACTTAGCAAAGCCATGTTTTGGTCATTGTTACTAAATTTACTCAAACTATATCTGTTGCAAATAAAAAACGAGATAATCGGAGAGTTTTGGATGAAGCCGCTCAAGTTGAAGTTTTGGGTCATTTTGGAATAAATCCTAATTCTTCATTACGCAAAATTGTTGCTGCGACTGGTATTTCATTAGGCTCTGTGCACACAGTTACTAAACTCCATGAATTTCATTCATTCAAAATGAAAACATTGCAAGAGTTAACCGAAGATGATTTCGATAGACGAGGTGATAATACCATTCATATAAAGAATATCTGCTTTAGTGATGAATGCATATTTTGTCAATATGGATTTATTAATAAGCATTGCTGCAGGTATCTCCAAAAAATTAATGTATGGCCAGGCATTTTAGGAAACAAAATGATTGGGTGATTGTTTATTAATGGAAATTTGAATGGAGATATTTCTTTGAATATGTTGGAACATGCCATTAATCCGTTTGTTACTGAAATCATTGAAAGCCAAATCGATGAGGATGGAGATCCTATACTTGATCTATTTCCAGCAAGACGGCGCTCCTCCTCACTATGTTTTCCGGTTCGGCAATGTCGAGACGACGAGTTTCCAGATAAATGGATAGGGCGAAGAGGACCTATAGAACGGCCTGCTATGTCTCCTGATTTGATGCCATTAGACTTTTTTTACGGGATCATTTGAAATCTATTGTGTGCACTCCCCAATCTGAAAGTTTGGATGAACTTCGTCAACACATCATCGAGAGCTGCCATAATATCCCCATGTTTTTGAAAATGTCGGTCAGTAATCTGAACATCGCCTATATTCTTGTTTCCCAATAAGGGGTAACATTTTGAACACTCACTGAAATAAAAAGTGATAATATATTCGTGTGTTTTGGTTTACTATCTGAACAAATTAAGGTAAATAAAGATTTTTCTAGTTTTCTTGAAAACGAATCGACCCATTTTACAAAATCGAACGTTAAAATAAAGGACATTGAAATACCTTTCAAACAAGCTATTACTCGATACCCCTTCTTGTTTAAAATTATCAAAGAAATGGTGAATGGGGTGAAGTAGTTCTTTTTTTTTGTCGCCCTTGACAAGTCTTTTGACGTGTTTCGGCGTTTTACCTTTTAATTAGTGATTTTCGATATATCCGCGGTGAGAACTTCTCAAATGAACACCCTGTATATCCATCAACCATACTTCATTTTTAAAAACAATTCCACGAAACGCAAAAAAGGCTTCAAATCAAATTGTCTGAGCAATTTCGATCTTAGCCGAAAAACTTATTATTTTTTTTATATCGAAACAGCCGCGCAGGCGGAAGCCTAAATGCCGGAACACCGCGGCTGCTATAATGATCCCAAAGAAATTTTGTTAATACGATTTTTGAACTGCCTAAGGTTAGTAGAACTGGGAAAAGCTTCCTCCCGTAGATTGTTCCACAATCTAGACACCCTCGGGACAAAGGAGCGATCGTATCGGCCAGTTCTGGATGTACGAAGTTTGACACGGTTAGGATGGGACGTCGAAGTCGGGCGGGTCTGTCTGGCAGGCACATCGCGCGGCGGCATCATAGAAGAGAGCTCTGAGGAGCAAAGCCCGTTGGTGTAGCGATAGAAAAGAGCTAGATCGTCGACGGCCCGCCGGTGCGAAAGAGTCCCGCGACTGTCTGTTAGAGAAGAGTCATCGATCAGTCGGACCGCCCTCCTCTGGACAGCATCGAGCATGGACACTGTAGTCGGGGCGGCAGCACCCCAAATGTGTGAGCAATACTCGAGGCTAGGCCTTATCTGGGCCTTGTATAGAGTGAGAAGGTCATGCGGAGAAAAGTACTTCTTAGCCCTAAACAAATAGCCTAGCTTATTCCCAGCAGCTGCAGCTATTGAAGAGATGTGTTCGTGCCAGATCAGGTCCTCGGTGATCTGGACTCCGAGCAGCCGAAATGAATGGCTCTTTGGTAGAACTCGACCGTCCATCGAAACTGTATGAGCGCTAGGACGCTTTTTGTTCGTCAAAGTACAGTACTGTGTTTTGGAAGCATTGAACTGTACAAGATTGTTGCGTCCCCAAGCAGTGATAGCCTCCAGGTCTCTTGTCAGAGAAGAAGTCGTCGCTAGTCTTCTTTTTTCCAGCTCAGCGGCAGAGATCGGCTTGTCACTCTGAATTCCTGCATGTAGAGTGCTGTCATCGGCGAAGCTATGGATTGGGTTGATCGTGCAGGAAAGGAGGTCGTTGATATGTTAGAGAAACAGTGTTGGAGCCAAGACCGATCCCTGGGGAACACCCGCGTTGACGTTGTGGGATGAAGAGGAGAATCCGTCAATTACGACGGATATCTTGCGGCCAGAGATAAAGTCAGCCACCCATCTGCAAAGCTTTTCTGGGAGGCCATAGGATGGAAGTTTGCTTAAGAGGGCAGCGTGCCACAACTGATCGAACGCTTTCGTGATGTCAAGAGCAACGACATGAGCCTCACCATGAGACTGTATGAGTTTACTCCACAGTTGCGTGACGTAAGCTAGGAGGTCCCCTGTGGATCGTTGGTGCTGGAAACCGTACTGCCTGTCGCTAATCAGGCTGTGACGTTCGAGGTAGTCCAGAAGCTCGCGATTTATGCACCTCTCCATCACTTTACTTATAACAGAAAGCAGAGCTATAGGCCAGTAGTTGTAAGGGTCGGTTTTAGATCCTTTTTTTGGGATGGGCTGTACATGAGCAAATTTCCAGTTTTCTGGGAAGGTGCCGGATTCATAAGATATCTGGAAGAGACGCAGAAGGAACTGGAGCAAGCTCCGCTGCACATCTCTTCAGTACAATGGCAGAAATCAAGTCCGGACCAGAAGCTTTGTTGATGTCGAGCGACAAGAGCACTCGTCTTACGGTCTTATGCCTGAATGTTACCTCCCGCATAGTGTGGGGAACCCTCTGAATTGACGGCACTTGGGCGTTGGTGGGGACGTCCATGGTGGAGTTGGCAGCAAAGATCTTGGCTAGCACTTCCGCCTTGGCCTTTGAGTCGAATACAATAGTTCCATCCTGACACGTAAGTGGTGGAAGGCTACTATGTGAGAAGTTCTTTTCAATCTGCTTGACCAGCATCCAGAAAGACCGACTGCCATTGCGCTGCGACATTACCCTGTGCCTAACATTCATACCATGCTGGTTTTTGGCATTGCGAACCGCTTCGTTATATTTGTTTCTGGGCTCGACGTCGGCTTGTCTGTTCTCTACAGTGGGGTTTTGTAAGTAGGTTCTGTGGGCCTTGATCTTCAGCTGGCGAGCAGTGTCACACGATTTGTTGAACCAGCCGTTGGACCCTGGTTTAGGAACTTTCACTGTGTGAGGGATGTATTCCTCCATTCCGACATGGATAATTTCGGTTATTGAAGAACAGACAGACGACGCATCCGCGTCAGTGAAACAGACATCTCTCCAAGGAAAGCTAGAAAAGAAGTCTCTGAGCCCCTCCCAGTCGGCATGTTCGTAATGCCAAGTTTTGCGGCCTGTGCGAGTTTCTGCTGCCACAGCGGCTTCTGACCGAAACCTAACCTCCACAACACCGTGATCTGAGTTACCCAGGGGGGACAGGACAGCAGTGTTGTAAGGGGCAGGATGCGTGGTCAGAAAGAGATCCAGCAGGCTACTGGCGTGTGACGAGGCGCGGGGGAAAAAAGTAGGGCTCGTGACCAGCTGGGTCAGCCCTTGAGTAAGAGCGAACGCTTCGACTGCACGACCTGCTGCATCGGTCTTATTTGAGCCCAACCAAAGCTCATTATGGGCATTGAAATCACCGAGAAGAACTACCTCTGAAGCGGGGTGATTGATGTTCAGGAAGTCGATCTGGACGGCAAGGTATTCGAGTAGGTCATCCCAGTTATGGTTCGAGGGAGAGCGATAAAGGCAGCAAATAAATTTGGGTGATGTTTTGGAGCTGAGGTCAAGCCACAAAATGTCCTTCCGGTCTGATTCCAAAGAAAGATCCCTGGAGCAGGAAAGACTGCTGCGGACAAAAGCCACAACTCCCCCGTTCTTTCTCAGGTTGGAGTGCACCTCGTAGTTTGGGAAGTTGAGATGGTTAATCGGTGCAGTCCCTAAGATTTTTGTCTCCGCCAAGAAAAGCACGGCGGGACGATTGGATTGCAGGTAGTGATGAACAGCATCAATGTTGCTGTTGATCCCGCAGATGTTCGAAAAACAAATTTTATCTTCGATGTTGTTCCCTCGAGCCCACCCTCCACCCGGACATTCCGAGAGTGGAATGAGTTTACGGCCGGAATTTTTAGTGCTCGAGGGATCCATCATCATTAATTTCTTTGTTTTGGTAGATAACCGACTGCATAGCTTAGGTGTGGAAACATGCGGACATTTATAAGACACCCTGGGAAAAGCTAGCGGGTGGTACTGCCTCGGTTGACTGGTCCTTGTTTACCACCTTCTTTTTATGTGTTAGTGATGATAAATAGACCTAAAGTGGCCCGTTGGAGGAGTAAGTACTTTAAAACGTTTCCAAGGGTTGTACTATCGTGTTTTCGAATTTCGGATCACATATGAACAATGACACTATCAGGTTTGATGATTTTTTACTTTGTGCGGGTAGCAAACTTGAAGACGAATATGGTATGGAGGAGACAATCTACTTGATACCAGTTTTTTTCACCTATCTGTACATTCTGCACCTTATCTGCCCAGTCGTTGTCACCGAATAAAAATAGGCACATAAATATTGTAAATAATCCAACCAGTTCGTTTATAAAAAATGTCAACCAAAACCCATCCAACATATAACTCTTATCCTGTTGGGGTTTATTCCATAAGTTGGACCTACCTGTCTGTACTCGCCGGTCGTTCGTTTCATCAATTTTTCATTTGCGCTGCTTAATTTCCGGTTCTGAAGGGCTGTGTGGGAAGCAGGTCAAACTGTTCATCTGAAAAACCGACCGGTGACGTAACAATTTTCGACACCGACAATGTCTGCTCCTCTGCTCAATTTAACCGTATTTTGTGTCTAGCTTACTTTTTATCTGGCATGCAACATACGGTGTATCCAGAATAAAGCTGAAAGACATACAATTCATAGGTTTTACAGGATAGCCTCAGTGCCCGCCCATTAACATTGATTTCAGTTTGTTCATAGACTTAAGGACCTGTCCGTGTGCATTTTTTCTAGGAAAAATCATGCGCTTTAGATCGACATAATATAGTTTATTTGTTTTTAGGTCCACCTAAAGACCAAAATAAAAAAATATGAACTTTTTGGATATATATCGGACGTAACAACAAAGATGCAGCGCGGCAAAGCGGCAGCCGGCAAAGCGGCAGCCGCTGTCCTTATTTATAATTAAATTTATTAATTGAAACCAAAAAGAGGTATATCACTTTTGAGCGTTTCATACATAGCGCGTGTTTATACATTGTGTCTTCAGTGATGTCTGCTTCCCGAAAATGTGACAAGAAGAACATTTGGATGTTCAGGCAAAAGAAAGTGTCCTTAACGTTTACGTATATAAGAGCGGAATTTTAGACAATCATGAAATGGAAATTCATGATATTGAAAACCGTGTGGCGAACAAAATAGGCTTGTGTCCTAAGACAATTTTCAACATTGTTAAAGAATTTAAGAAAAACAAGGAATTGTCTCCACCACACAAGAGGCTGAATTGCACAAAGCTTTAATAACTTTGATTGGGATACCATCAGATGAAAAGTACATTAATTTTTTGAAAGGTAGGAACTTCCCATCATAGACAAAGTATTACAGGAGGATAGTAGTAATTAAAACTTACCTACTTTCAAAACAACCAAATTCTATAGTTTACTCAAAGAATTTTATTTTGGCAATAGAAAACGGGGCAGAAATAGTATTCTGATGGACAGACAAGAGACTATTTCATGGAGAAGAAATTATTCAAAATCAATAAAGAAATACCGCGACCAGGGCAGGCGATTTATTACTTGGATCAAACCTGGATAAAAACAGATGATACATGCACATTTACCTCGTAGTCCATGTTTAGAAAGAATTTTAAGGAGTATTTGATGGTCCGTCTAGTCAAAGGCCTTAGACAGATCAAAAAACAAACCGGCCAGTTTTTCATTCTTATTCACATTTTCAGCAATAAAAGTAAGAACCTTAAATAGTGCTAGTTGTGTGGAATGATTTGGGCGAAAGGCAAACTGATTTCTTGTTAAACGGTTATATTTCTTGATAATGTTCATTATCCTTGAATATATGACCTTTCCGAAGACTTTTGACACAGAAGATAACAGTGAGACTAGTCGATAATTGGCTATGTCATGCACATCTCCCTTTTTGTTAATAGGACCAGTTTGGTCCTCTTTGAATGTGACCAGAAAATTCATTAATAATATTAGCTAACTGGCCAAAGTTAGTTTAATTTCTCTCTTGTCAACACGGAGCAGAAATAAAGTGGGAATTGCACTAGGTTCCGAAATATCAAGACTGCCATGGGGTTGCGGAGAGGTATCAAACCTTTCCTGAAAGGCATCAGCAGTCTGTTGGGGATCTTTTATTATTACACCGTTATTAAGTTTTAGTTCAATGTCGATCATTATGCACATATATCAAGAATTTTTTATTTCAATTTTGAGTCTATTTTTATTTGAAATGGATTCCATATGGCTTGGTAAAAAGTTATAAGATCTAGTGGAGGGGTAACTGAAGCATCTTTGAAATACATTTTTTCTTGTAAATGGTGCTCTTTCAATAACCTTGACTTTACTTCTTGTTTCACACTTGTGGTCCAATGAAATAAGGTTTGTTTTATTTTTGAATAAACTGACTACAACATTCTAAAAAAAAGTTGCCTAAGATCGAGTAGTCTAGCTTCAGAGTATAACATATCAGATGGATATAGCACTGGCCGTTTAAAAGTAATTTTCAAAAATGTCTAGCTTCTCAAGGCGGCTCCCACGCAGTTGAAGCCATTTATAAGGGTTTAGCTGCTTCAAAACTGAAACTCCATTTTTCAATATTCTTGAATGAAATTTATATAGTATCCTTAGAAGGGTGCTATCGGAGCACTTTTGAAAAATCTGTTTTTACGCAAAATTTATGGTGGTTTGAAATGCTTACTCTTTTGTTGAACCTCGCGATTTTTTTTAAAAAGAGCCGATTGAAAGAAATTAAGAAGTGGCTCCATAGCACCCTGTATAGTTTCGTTTCCAGCACACTGTAAAAATTTCATTCTAAAATATTGAAAAATAAAGCGTCAATTTCGGAGCGTGCCAACCTCTACAAATCGGATTTTGCACGAATTTTGTCTACTGTTTCGTGCTTCCAGATCAAGCGACGCGGCGGAATGTATGGACTAAGACGTATCCAGATAATTTGGTGGCCCTAGTTCAAATAATATCGTTCGGCAAATAGGTGTTCATAATCGCGATCGCTGATGCGAAGTAAATGTTCGTAACTAGTTACGTAAATGTAACTTCCGAATTTATACTCTGGTTGTCTCTCTGATCGATCCATCTTACACTGGCCAATAAATGAAACCTCAGTTAGTGGATATACTGATTTCCTGACGTTTAGGCTGCTTCGGCAAATTAAACATTTTTGCTCCTCTGGCTTAAAGCTGTTTTACTTATCACGCTAGTGGCGCCAAAAAGTTATAAAAAGAAATGTTATGTTTCTTATGTCTTATGACTTCTACATCACGAAAAACTACATCGCTCATTTCCGTCTGTCTGCTTGCTAATCCTTTGCCCGTCTATAACTTGGAAATTATCGCTCGGGTTTTATGGAATTTCCACACGAGGTTACTACTATGTCTTGTAGTTTCAGTCCAGTGCCAGTGGCGGCGGCGCTATAGGCAAAAAACGAAAAAAATAGCAATCGCTGAAACTCCGTTTTTGACGTTTCAGGGGTTCCTAATCATTGACACAAAAGAATTGTAGTGCTTAAAAGTGGGGGTTAGGGGAAGGTGATTCTAAATGTTGCATCTTTGATATCAGTGAAACACATTCGATTATTAAGAAACCTCCGATTCCAGTGATTACAGGAAATTCAAGTGACGAAAATCCGACGAATAATATGCTCACGATTTGAAAAAATCAGTACCTGCATTATAGGTTTGACACCGAGAGCCAACAGGTATGCAACTGCCGACAGTAGGGAAGAATAAATACGGATAAATAAGGAATATTAGGGCCTTGGAAATAGGTACCACTTCAGTGAGGTATATGGGAATTTAGCGAGGAACTTTACAATCATCCATATGTTTAGGAAATATGTCTTTGAGAATGATAATTTGGCGGAATGTATACCTACATTTTCATCTGAATTTTATGAGACATGAATGTACCCATGCTGTATGTGTTGTTTCTCTATATACGTGCAGGGACATCCGTAGATAAGAACATTACTCTCACTGACGTGATAACGAGAAGGGAATATAGATCGACTCAGTACGGCTACTGCGATGTAGTGAGTTGCAAGCGATTTTTAAGGGTTCAAAAATAAGAATTTAATGACAGAACTGTCAAAAAATTCACCTATGTCAAGAGCACTTGTAATATGAACTTTGATCCTTCATGAAAATTGGGTGACAAACAAATCTTTGAGTGACTGACCTTCTACCTAGTCTCGTCGTCGAGGCTCAGCTGCTTCACAACTGACGCTACAGTTTTCAATATTTTCGATTGAAGTTCATGCATTGTGATCAGAATTTTTTTTTGCGCATAAATTATAGTGGGGTTACTATTTGTGTTCAAATGCTTGATTTTTTTAAAAGATCTTATTGGATAAAATAAAAAATGGATCGTTAGCACTCTGTGGAGCTTTGTTTCCAGCACGCTCTAAGAGTTTTAGTTGTGAAGTGCGGAAACCTCTGTAAATCGGTATTTGGGCGAATTTCGTCTACTGTTTCGTGCTACCAGTCCAAGTGACGCGTGTACCGACTAAGAAAAAACCGTGTTCAATCAATTTGGTGACTATCCTTTCTAAAATAAATTCAGATTCGTTTATTTATATCAATACATGAAATTATGTTTACAAGTGTCATATTAAAAACATTCCAATGGAACGAACCACGGAGGCGTGCTATGGAGTATCAATGAGAAACTCAAAACGCTATATAGTATGTTAAATGTGTAATAAGATATGGAGGAGTCCATTAAAAGATTGTAAAAATCACTCTTGATTAACCTAAATGTGTGATATTTCATTGTTCATTCACATACCCTTCCAAAATACGAAGATTGATATAACATACTATATCTTTTTGATATCAATTTGTTGTCGAGTTATAAGCGATTCAATATACAAAAACGCTTAGCGCTCAAACGTTAGTCCGCCATTTTGAAAAATACAGCAATAATAAGGAGCTTCAAAGTAAGGCATCATGTGATATTTCTATTTAAAAGAATGTTCTAATATAGCACCCAGCAATCGTCTTGAAATTTTCAGTTACTTTTACGTTGAAATATGGTATTTATGTTTCAGTTTCACCACGCCCAGATTTAACTTGCTAACTTAAGCCCTTCAAAGAATATATAAGAGGAATTTTTTTAAATGCACTGAATGAGGGGAGTAAAAAACACATATATTTGAAAAGAAATATGTTAGAAATTCGAAATACTAACAAAATAAACTTATTTGTGCTTGGCGGATGGAACTGTTGGCGTGTTTGTAAATAATGAAGGTGTTGCAGCATTTGTTTGCGAAAATGCCATTTCTTGTTCCTACAATAATGTTTCATAAATAACTAAAGAATATGTTCTAGCCCATGCATACCAACCTGAATTTGAATGTTCATGCCATCTACATGTGTTTGAAAATGCGTCTCAGTAACCTTGGTATTAGTCTGAGGCTAAAATAACACCATATAAAATGTAATTATAGTGGTACCTATGAATTATAACAATTTTTTTCTCGAATAAAAGCTAAAAATAATCCTAATCATTTTTTTACAAACGTCCTTCTTACCGGCGAGCATTCAAGTGCATTCAAGTCTATTTCCTTTATTGTCCATTCTCATCATCCTTGATAAAAAGGCAATGAAGAACGATCACACCAAGAGGTTATGACAACAATTCAACGCAATATCGATAAACAGTGAAGAGGGTAAAAAGAAAATCACTTGATAAGTACCAAAATATTGAACGAATTACAGACGACTAGACTAGACTATTTACCCCGGTACGCACCCGCAGTCATTTTTCCATTTTATAAAGTAGTGCCGACGACCGTCTAAGACTAGCCCACTGACGTTTCCTTTCCATCCCCCTTAGGAGATGCTCCTCGTGATTGTGGGACCCGCGTTAAGAATTACGGATAAAAGATTACTCACAGTTTCACATCTACCAAATGCAACAAACGCAAACAGAAGCACCTAAACCTGTCGCGTCGGCATATCGGCAGCAAACTGTGTTTTACCAATTGCCCAGCTGCATGAGATGTTTATACAGGTATAAGTTTTATGACTATGTTCCTAACTCTGTTGATGTGTGAGCAATAAAGTTGAACTAGAAATTAGTGCTATTGCTCAATGAATGTGCCTTAGGCGTAATTATGCCAACATTTACACGCACCTTTCCTATTTTGCTGCAATTTAGAATAAGTATGTCAAATATCACTCGAGCTGGTTGAACTAGATCTTTCTGTGTTGATGATTATATTTGTTTTGTGAACCTATTTGAATGTCGTTACTTTGAGGTGAGACATTTAACAAAGTTTCAATCCTTTTCCAATTCGAGCGACCTAAAGTATGAAACTTCTATAAAGATCTTTTCTTTTTAACAATCTGCGTGGTTCTTATACAATCTGCACCATTCTTACTCCGATGGTTTTGTACTTTGATGATTATTGATAAACCGCTTCATTTCGGAAACATAACCTACCCAAAATTTTTCCAAATTTTAACCTAATTTGCCATAGTAAGAACATTAGAATCAATACATACGAACATTTTCATGCCTCTAACTGTATCAGTTATGCAGAAAAAAGAATATTTTCGACACCCAGAGAAGAAGAAAGCATATTGTCTATGCCACTGACTTTTCTCCATTTATTGCATTTCGTAACTAAACATTCAATTTTACATGATTTGTCTTATATTTAAGAGTCTACCATGCTATATATTTTGGAGAGAGATTGGATTGAATACTTCAAATTAAATTTTAAATCTGCTGTAACATCCGAAATTCATCCTCAGGTTTTCATGTCGATAAATCCCTATATTTGTCTGGCCAATGACACCACATATACGAGGCGTGTTTTTACGTAAGTAGGTACCATTTTGACATAAAAAAACAACAAGTAAATTTTGTTCAAAATTAATTTATTCACTTGAAAGGCCATACTTTACTCTACTTTTCTACGTAATTCCCATTACGATTCAGGCATTCATCGTATCTTGGCACCAGCTTTTCTATGCCATCGTCAAAGAAGCTTGCCGCCTGAGTAGACAACCACTGCTTCACAGTGGTTTTCACTTCGTCATTATCGTATTTGAAACTTTTCTTTAATATATATACCTTTCAGTCACAACGGTGACCTTCTATAGTATGTGTCACTTTTGACAATATTTTATTTATCTACCTTCCAGGTGATACGCACTTGATTTGCTTTTTCCATTTTCAGATGCCGATATTGCGCAAAGCCATCGATCCAAATTTTTAAAAGCACATAGACCCGGCAGGTGGATTACGTATCTTGAAAAATAATTTCACAAATTGGCGTAACTTTATAGTTAAGCTCCCTAGTGAAATTTAATCTTCCATTAAAATTTGATAAGACTAATATTATTTTTCTATAACTCTGAAAGTATTAGAAACTGATTTATGCCAGTTCGTGACATTGAAGAGCAACCTTTTTTAAGTAATAAAATCGACTCAATTTTCGTGTTTTCTGAGATACTCCACTTCGTGTTAATGGTGACGAGATGCGGTCTTTATACTGAACCAACTTTCTTTCTCTCACATCTCAGAGATAAACACTACAAACTACTCGGCTTCTTAAAATATATACTTGCTTTCTGCAACCAGGGATGTGTGTCGTTGTCATTCCTTTTTTAGGTTTCTTACATAATACCCGTGCCGGTTGGGGCTGGCCTTCCGGCTCCCAAGCAGACGTAAGCTTTGACATTCAAAATTTCATACAACACCACGTAGCATTATTTGAATAATATTCGTGTTTTATGCCCATTCAGAACCGCCAGTGTCCAAGAAGCTTTCAGTGTACCTTGGCAACAGAAATTTTAGTACCTAAGTTTGTATGAGCTTTTTGTGTCATATTAGCGTGTACCTACTGTCTATACTATAATTATCGTGAGAAGAGCAATTGGGACCTTAGGATATATAATCTCGTTTTCAGTCACCTCCGTGTAGCATCATTTACAAAGTCTCGTTAAGAAAGATTTAGTCATTACGCACGGGCAGCAGGTGGCTGAATTAACTAATTAACAGGGCCTGAAAATTTCCAGGATATAAATTTTGTCGGGAAAGAGAATTTTCGCTTAGAATACATATCTCCTCACCTTTCAATACCATCCATTTTGGAATAAGCTGATTCAGTCATTTGGTGTCACGTCGTTACTTTTGATATCACGAAGGCTTATAGCTCTCCTAATAAGCTTCCATTATATAGCATATTAGAAAGGCTTTGCAGTTGGGTTGCAGACAACATTGACGAGTTTTTCTCTTGTTCCCAAAATATCAATGCAGGTGATTTTGAGGGATTAGTTTCAATTTGATGTATGCTTCTGACCCATCAAATTGTCCATGCTTGGACGGAAGATTACATTCCTCATGCAGTGCCTAAATCACGGTCGAACAAGTCTGTCAACAAATCGTGCGACACTACACGTCAGCAGAAGATCAATGCACAGAGACCGTTCTTACAAATCCCCACTGTGGAGAACAGAGAAGCCGACGTCGCGTCCAAAAACAAATGACGAAGCGGTTCGCAATGCCAAAAACCCGCACGATGTAAAACATAAGGTAACCACATCACAACGCCAGTCGGTCCTTCTGGACGCTAGCCAAGCAGATTGAAAGGAACTGCTCGCAGAGTAACCTTCTATCACTTACGTGCCAGAATGGAACAATTGTATCCGCCTTCGAGGCTTAGATGGAAGTGTTTGACAAGGCCTTTGCTGCCACTCCTCCATGTATGTCCTCCCTAACGTCGATTCAACAAAGCTTTTCGTCCATACTTAATCATTGCTGTCGTTCTTTCGCTACTCGCTCGCTCTTCCAGATACCTTACGAGTCCGGCACTTTTCCAGAAATCTGCAAATTTTCTCATGTCCAACCCCTCCCAATGGAATGTTTGAGACCCAAGACCCTTACACCACAGATATATAGCTCTGCTTTCTGTTACAGGTAAGGTTATGGAGTGGTGCATACATTTAGAGCTTCTAGACTACCTCGAACTTCATGGGCTGATTAGCTACAGGCATTATAGTTTCCGGCACCAGCGGACCTCCTAGCTTAGGATTCGCAACTGAGAAGTGGCTCATGTCGTTGTCCTTGATAAAACGAAAACGTTCGATCAGCTGTGTCTGCTGCACTGTTATGCAATATATCCGTCCTAATTGACGGGTTCTCGTCTTCATCCCACAAAGTCAACGCTGGTGTTCTGGAGGGAACGATCTTGACTTTCTGTACAGTCAATCCAATCAACAGATTTGCTGATCACAGCACTCTACATGCATAAATTTAGAGTGACAAGCCGATCTATGCTGGTGAGCTGGAGAGCAGAAAGATAACGCATACCATCCATTTTGCCACTATACATCTATAGCTGATGTAAGGGACTTCTTCTAGTTACGAGTTCAAATCTGCTCGAAAAATACTTTCAAATATAGTTTAGCGAACAAAACGTATACTTGAAGCAGAAGCTGCTAAATGGGCGTAAATACCTACGATCCATTAAATAGAGAGACGAGCAGTTTGCACCAGATTACCTGAGTTTGCCGGTTTTCGAACAAACAATATTCCGCTCCACAATTTTGCATTTCATATTTTCAATGAACCGAAATTTAATTGGCAAACGCATTGCGGCGTATTTGTTTATGAATATTTTCTCACATGTCCTATTTTCGCAATGTTGGAGCTGTATTTGATTGCTTGTAGTGTTTAAAAAAATGGAGGTAACTGAAAACATTGAGCAGGAATAACAAAACAGCTCAGTATGAAAATGAGTAAACTTTGACCCATCATGACGTCAGAATTTTTGTAGTAATATAATCAAAACTATGTGCCCTTGCTACCCACTCCCTGATATGTTCTCTGTCATTTGCAGGTTCGCAGTTTTTAGCTCGCTGCTGCAGAGCTTATATTTGAAAAACTAGTTTAATCATATTAGCAAATATCCCCGAAATAATTGTAAAGTCTGGTTTTGTTAGTACAAGTTGCTCACGGGGGTATTTAAAACATGGACGTGTAAAATGGGTACACCAATTGTTGTGGAAAAACTTTATTCGACAACAGAACCAGATTTTGGGATTCATTCGAAAGTGTTGACAGGAACGCAAAAATCTTCCAAATATGATTTTTAGGTATTTATGAGATCCACACAATGAGACCACACGTAAAAAGGTCCGACTAATAAGAAAAATGTTATGGCCAAAAAACGAGGCAAAATTCAGGTTTTGGCACTTGTTGGTAATGCGACGATAACTCCACGCAACTACTTAAAATTCTTGAAATTTGTAGGGTTTATACTTCTAAATAACAGCAACAAAATTGGATTATATTGGTCAAGTACTTTATTTGAGAATTTCTAATAGTTTATCCAAAAACAGCTGTCTTGCAGCCATCACTAGTAGTTTATTGAGCAATATACAGGGTCCGTTCAAAGAGCATTTGATTGCAACATACACGTGTCTACCTTGCCGATATGAATGACAAACCATTCAGAAAGATAAATGTCATTTTTACGCGAAAAACAAAGGTTATGTTTTTTCTTCTAAACAAATTCAACCATGTCGTATTTGTTTGTAATTGAACAAATGCGCTACGATATTCGAAAAACATACGTAACTATACACATTTTAAAACAAGGAGGATGTGTCTATCATCTTAGCCAACGTAACCCATAATTTTTTGCATAAAAATAACATTTATGTTCCGGAATGGTTTGCGATCCATATCGGCAAGGTAAACTAGTGTATTTTGCTGTAAAATGCCCTTTGACCTAACCCTGTATATTGCAATGAAGTGGTAGTGATGGCCGGAAAACAGGTGTTTTGGGATAAGCAATTGAAAATTCCCAAAAACTGCTTGACCAATCTACTTCTTCTTTGTTGTGCTATGTAGAAGTACGAATCCAACGATTTGAAGAAGTATCTGCGAGACACCATCTTCGCATTACCAACAAGTGCCAAAACCTGCAGTTTGCCTCCGCTTTCGGCCATAATTATTTTGCTATTAGTCGGACCTGTTAACGTGTGGTCTCATTTTGTAGGTTTAAAATAAATACCTGACAATCGTATATGAAGAGTTTTTCAGTTCCTGCCAACACTTTCGTTTGAGTCTCAAAAAACACGTTTTCTCATCCTTTGTTGTCGAATAAAAAGTTTTCCCACAACAATTGGTGTACCCATTTTGTGCGTCCATGTTTTGAATACCCCCTTGAACAACTGACACAAAAACAGACTTTACAATTATTTTGCAAACCAGCGGTATTTTCGTCTAATTTGATTAAACTAGACAGTTTTTTTTCTTAAATACTGACTCAACTTACTTGACTTATTTTCTCATAAACAACTGTGGTCTGGTAAGCTAAATCATACGAGTTAATTCCTACTGGTTTTTGGCTTGTTCAATAAATAGTTAAAATGGACATCAGTAAACTTATAAACATTTTACATAAATCGGCATAATATTTAAGTAGATCACGGCCCTATTCATTTTCTCAGTGCATTGTTATCGCAAGTAGTTCCAAATGGTTTACAAACGAGGTATATTAAGCTGTGTTTCAGCACTCCAGAGCACTGCTTGCAGATACTGTTTCCAGTCTTCTGTTGATAAAAGTTCGAAACAGTTTTAAACCTAACAATATGATTACTGGATATACGTATTTAGTAGTACTGCTAATGAGCAGTTCGGTTTATTCAGGTCTGTTCGTAAGTATCAGTTTTAGAAAATACCGTGATATGATTCATCATGAGAGAAAAATGTATTCGAGGAGCTCAAAGCTGTCTTTGCAGATAGAGTATTAATGAGATAACCACATGGTTTGGCTTCATATAAAGTTAATTTTGTATACTATTCTGCTCTTATGTATCGTTGCGTTTCCCATTATATCCAGCACATCCACTTTTCGCTGCACAGTAAATTTTTAAGGAATCATTTATGATGACCTTTTCAGAAGCCTGCTATGACTGTTTTTCTTTTTTATGTATAATGCCCGAGAAAGTTTGACTAAATGAACTTACGTAACCGTTTTTCCAGTACGATTATAGTGACGATGACAGCTCGGAGCGACATCGAGGACCTAGAGGACCTCCAGGACCTCAAGGACCACCTGGACCACCTGGACCACCAGGTAATAATAACTAATTTCACTCTCAATCATATTTTATGAAGAACAGACCGGCTTATTGGAGCTAAACAGGAATAATTTGTTGTCATTTAAAAATCTCATTTAAAAGCATTGTTATACAAGGAGCAAGAGTACAGAGTGCTGCTCTAAGGTTGTTTAAGAAAAAGGCCATTTAGTAATAGTAATAGTTTATTGTTCTTTCCGGCACATACAATGCTTAGAACTCGTCAAAAATTAATATAAAGAATTTGAAATATAAAAAACAAACAAATAGGTATGAAAAATAATCTAAAAACAACCAAACATCAAAAAACAAAATTCCGAGACGGCATAATAACAATTTTTTTATAAGAAACCGCTTAAATTTTTGGCCCTAAATTCCTTGGAGACTTCGTAAATATATTGTATTTCGCAAATGGTATATATAGTTCGTTACGTTGTCTTGTATTTAATCCATGAACATCTTTGTATTTTGAATAGTTTTCTAAACTCACATACCTTAACACAGAGCGTCATTTGGGAGCCAGTCTCTCCGAGTTCAAGGAATCACCAATAACATTTTTGCTTCAAATTCAGGAACCACCCTGTATTGCTAAGAGTTTGATTGGGGGACTAGCACTTAGCTCCTTCAATCGTTGCCTTAGTATTCGCAAATTGAGTAACAAATCAGGAACACTTTACATATGACCAGCATATCACCACTCTATATTATTTAGCCTCCCAGAGTAATCAATACACCTAGTAAAAGCAACTTCAGTTGAAATGGACAACCCTCCATAGGTCCACCAGGTCCTTCAAGCGCAACCTTTGCGTCCAGTGCCGCTCATCATCCAGTCATAGTGGTGCAACCACAGGCTGAAGCAAAACCTGGCATTCCTGGCGTTCCTGGAATACCTGGCAGTGCTCTGCCGGGAATGCCAGGCGTTCCAGGTTTTCCAGGAATTAAAGGGGAAAAAGGAGACCCAGCTTTTGTTCCAGCTCTAGCAACCGGATAGCTGAACGATTTTGGCGATAAGGATAGACACATGTATATACAAATATTTCTCAAGAAAATTCATATTAATATCTAATTTTTTTATTTGTCCCCGTTTATGCTTATTTTACCCTTTGAACCACCCGAATCGATAACCCCGGGGGAGATGGGACTATAAAAGCACAACGTTGTTGCTGGATTTCTTATTCGGTCAATACTTCATTCAGATCTAAAAATCTTCATTGGGACATCTCCAGGACATCATACCTATGTATCAAAATCTACCAGACTGGAGATGTGAGAATGCCTGTTAAAGCAAATCCAAAATGAATCGCAAACGTTGTACTAGCGCATTTCCAGAAGGAAAAGTTGAATATAGAAGTTATAGGATCAAATATAAAGTATTTCGTGTAATATTTTTTACTCAAAAGGTGCTATCCAATAAAGTTGGATTTTTCAAATATATACGAGAGGGAAAATGGTAGTTCATTTTATTCTAATTCAAAATATGGGGTTGTCCAAAACGGACGCAGGAAAGTAAACGCATATTAAAACAAGAAAGATTGATATTCAAATCAAGTTGGGTACTTTATTTTGAAGGTTCATTTATACCATTTATGTATGACAAATAATATCGCTCAAATGTTCACCACGACTGGATTTACAGACGTCCACGCGATGGTCGAAATTTTCAATGACATTTTGCAACATGGTCGGTTCTAAGGCATTTATCTCGGCAGTGATGTTGTTTTTGAGTTCTTGGAGGGTGGCTGGTTTGTTGACGTATACTTTGCTTTTTAAATATCCCCATAAAAAGAAGTCCAAGGGAGTCAAATCGCACGATCTTGGTGGCCATGGCACATTTCCTCTGCGCGAAATCACGCGATCACCGAAGAAGGACTGCAATCGATGGACATTGACGTTGGTTGTGTGGCATGTTGCACCGTCTTTTTGGAAATAAACATCGTCCATATCCATTCCTTCAAGTTGCGGCAAAAAATAGTCCTCGATCATCACGTGATATCGCTCTGAATTGACGGTAACGGCGTCCCCGGCCGCATTTTAGAAAAAGTAAGGTCCGATGATGCCTTTTGACCACAATGCACACCACACAGTCACTTTTTGAGGATGCATCGGCTGCTCTTGATGCTCACGGGGATTTTCGTTCGCCCAGATGCGGCAGTTTTGCTTGTTTACCGTCCCATTCAAAGTGAAATGCGCTTCGTCGATTTTTGATGAAAAATTGGCATCAATTTGGCGGTGTTCAAGGAGCCAATCTGAGAACGTTCGGCGCGAAAAATGGTCGGCCCGACGCAGCTCTTGCGTCAATTAGATCTTGCAGGTGTGTACATTCAAATCCTTGTGGAGAATGCGGAGCAAACTGGTTCTCGCGTTGTTGATTGTTTCGGATCGTCTCTCACTCTCTCCTTCACAACAGCAATATTTTCCGGTGTGCGAACGCTCCTTGGCCGGCCAGAGCCTGGTAGATTTGCCACAGAACCTGTTGCCTCGAATTTACGCACCAGACGACCGCTGGTTGTTTCGTTTGGGCGGTGAAATGTTCACGAAGCGCGCGAAACGTGTTTTTTATTTTTGCACTATTTTTGTAATGCTCTTGAATAACTTTAATGCTGTCTTGAATCGAATACGACTCCATAGCGATCAATGGTAAACATTCAACTAACAAAATGACATGTCGGTGACAGAAAACAAAGATGGCGTCTATGTCAAATTGACGTTTACTTTCCTGCGTCCCTATAGGACAACCCTTTATATATAGTTTTTCATTAGCCTGGTCAACAGCTTTAAGTTTGTGTATCATTTACTTATTTGTGCCTGAGTTCCAACCAGTTTGCATATCTTTCTGCCTGTATATTTCGGAATAGACATGATTGAATGAGATACAAACTAGCAAACTACAAGTTTTAATAAAAATAAGTTTAACAAACCATATACAGGGTGTTCCATAATTATTGCAACAAAATGATAGGGGTTATAGAGGGCATAAAAATATGCAATTTTGCCTTATAAACCCCTGTTCGTAAATATGCCGTTTGAGCACTACAGTTAATTTTACCTTAAGAGCTCATAGGAGAAACAAAAAATTCACCAGCTGCAAAATGTTCGTCTAGCACATTTCATGGTCTCGCCGGTTTGTAAAAAAAAGCCTGCTGTGTTTACATTTTTGTTATCGTACACCCGTACCACCTTTTAAAAGTCCAAGCCATGGGTCCAGCAGACTATCTGCCGCGTCGACGTTTTTGTCGTTGGTGGCTGCAGCAGGAGTTGAGGCAACCAAACTTTGGTCGCTACGTTTTGTTCACTGACGAGTCCTGTTTTACAAAGGACGGTTATTTTAATAGCCGTAACAGTCACATTTGGGATGAAGAAAACCCTCATGCCATAGCCATCCATAGAGACCAACATCAGTTTTCAATTAACATCTGGTGCAGCATTGTGGACGAGCATATCATCGGGCCATATCTGCTTCCACCACGTTTGGATGGGCATGCTTATGGTCGATCCTTACAGCATGTGCTACCGGAACTATTAGAAAATGTGCCACTGAATATAAGAGCCAACATGTGGTTTCAACACCATGTCGGTCCAGCCCACTTTTCTTTACAAGTGCGGCAGTATTTGGACGACAAATTTCCAAATAGGTGGATAGGCCGAGGTGGCCCTGTGCCTTCGCCTGCGCGGTCACTTGACCTGACCCCACTGGATTATTTTATCTGGAGCTATCTGAAAGCTTTAGTGTACGAAACTCCTGTTCCCAACCAACAAGAGCTACTGGGAAGAGTATCCGCACATGTTCAGGACATACCGGGGGTATGCCACAGAGTTCGCCGATCATTGAACAATCGTGCACAGCTGTGTATTGAGCAAGGTGGAGGACACTTTGAGCAATTACTGTCGGTAAGCTGTTTCAAGAAACTGATCTTTTTTTTTGCTGCAGCCCAAACGGCATATTTCCGAACAGGGGTTTATAAGGAAAAATTGTTCATTTTGATGCCCTCTACAACCCCTATCATTTTGTCGCAATAATTATGGAACACCCTGTATATGTTAAGAATGAGAAAACATGGACTATCATTTCACTGAAACTATGCAGGATATTCCATTAAAAAATGTCATATAGAAAACTTCACATAAACTTTTATATACAACTTTTTCTTCTGAAAGGTCATATAAAAGTTAGATGGAATCAATTTATACCCGTACCCATATAAAACGCATAACCGCGAAAATTAATAATATATCTATCTTGATAATATACAGAGTGACAAAAGAGGTAAACACCCAGGTATGTTTTTTGTCAGTCAGTTCAACTGTACCACTATAGGAATCTTGGCGAAAATATATGCAACAGTTAAAAACGGTAGGACCTTTAACGAGGTTTGATTGACGATTTTTCATAAATAATGTTTCGATTAACGCTGCTTTGATACCATCGCAGAGAGGTTTGAGCATTTTTGTAATAATAATCTAGTTGATATTACAAAATACCGTTTTTTTTGTTCCTGTAGTAGTGAAATATGTTGCATTGCTTGAAAATTTGATGATTACATAGAGGTAGTTAAACTGGTTGGAGGCCTCACCGCCCTCGCCGTGATGGTAGTCTGGCCTAAGAGTGTCTTCCAATATACCTAAGGAGTACACACTTTTCTGTAATAATGACTCGCGCCTAGCTTTCCAGTTTCGTGATAATTGAAAAAAGTGCTTAACTGCAGGTCCGCCAGGCCCTCCATCTCCGTCCACCAGTTCCACTGACGACATTTCTGTGCCTCCAATTGTCGTTATACGGGGACCACCAGTGGAGGGGCAACCAGGGATTCCTGGCATTCCGGGAATTCCAGGAAACGGGATACCAGGTATACCTGGACTCCACGGATTTCCAGGCCGGAAGGGCGACATGGGCCAAATTGTTATAGCACCTGTTACTGCAGCTTCCCCAGAAGCATCTCCTCCTGCGCCTGATTCAGTGCCTCCTGTTCCACCTGCACCCCTTTCCGCTGTACCTCCAGTTGCTCCTACAGTGTCTCCTGCAGCACCCCCTCCAGCGGTCCCTGCTGTACCAGCTCCAGGCGCAGCTGCGCCGCCTCAACCTCCACAACCGTCTGCAGGATGACCATGAGATCATGAGGTTGTACGGCATTCATCAAAATATCATCATGTTAATTTTTAATAAATATGAACAAAAAATATAGGGGAAAAAAGCTTAATTCATTCCACATCAGAAAATCGTCGCCCTCATAAGATTACGCCTCAGTTAGCAAAAAAGACAGGATAACCATAGTCCAAAGAATCTTAAACTCCCTTAGGATACCAATATGCTTAATATCTCCAAGTACCAGCAAAGGTGCGATTGAGTTTGAGCCCGCATGAAACATAACTAAAAGATAAAATTATAGCCTCTCTCATTGGCCTATCAGTACAGACCCAAGCGCTAATGAAATGGTGGCATAGACATGGACTATCAGATGGTCCAGCAGTGCCACTTAATGAGTCCGTTTGCACACGTTTTGATTACGGTTAGGAGCCTCATAAATATTCAAGCAAATCGAAGTAATACAGATGCGCGATGGTCTGTCTGAATTGGATCAACAGTGGCGGATACTCACCGAGTGAATTCGATTTTGCATAGGTAAGCAAATAGAGCTCAAGTTGCAACATATTACCAAGATGTTTTACACGAACAGCTTAATACAACTTTTTGACAACCTGCAACCTACGACCACAGAAACTATTGTTTCAAACTAGGTGTCGCAACGTACAGGTCCTCTCCGAAATACCAGCACGAAAGCTATGCTAACGTATGCCATAAAAGTTTTGGCACAACATTCATTGGCTTTAATCTTAAAAAACACAAAATAATATCAAGTTGCTTTTGGAAACAAAAGTTTGCTTTCTTACTTTACTGTCAGTTGACATTTATTTATTTTTAAGTTTAAGATGTATAAATTAGAAATAAAAAAAGTATCTACATGTTGGTTGGGCTGGTGCATTAAGCTGAAATCTTTGGAGTATTCCAGAACGAAACCTTTGATCGAACAATGGCGTAGTGCGAGCAGGGAATACCATGTCTGAATCTCCCAAAAAGTGGAAGACCAGGTGCATTCACTGCGCAAAGGTCAGATTGGTGAGAAGAGCAAAAAATCAGGTTGGAGTGTCAAGGAGAGTGGTTCGTCAATACAAATCTCTAAGACTACGATGTCATTGGAATTGAGGAGGAATTGTTTTCAATATCGAAAGAGACTTAAGTACCCCTAATACTCTCAAGCGCAAGTCCTTCGTATACCAAGATGCTGTCGTCACCTGAGGAGGGTACAGTTTGTCAATGGAAAAATCATTATTTTAGATACTTCACTTTGAGTAATTCTGAACTGAAGGGAAACCACGAATTTTATACAGAAAACGTAGAGGAATGCCGTGACAATGTTAGATACAAACAAAAAGTGAAATTTGCAGA